ACACCAAATAATGTTCTTTTTAGCAACCTCATATGACCCCTTTAATTCCTCATTATTGGTGCTGTTTATGATATGATAGAATGAGATTCACGCAAACAAATGTGAGTTGTGCTTCAGTTGGCCTTCAGTTGTGTTTGTGTCTGTATCAGGTTTTGGAGGAAGTTGTTTTCAGAAGGATGTGCTGAATTTGGTGTATCTGTGTGAGGCACTGAATCTCCCAGAGGTTGCTTCATACTGGCAACAGGTAAACTTCACTTTGAATGCTTATTTAGTAAGTCTTGATGGGATATGTTGGCTTTGTGCGAGTCATCATTCAGTGGAAAGACGCATCAAGTCAGATTTAGCTTCACGTAAAATCATCAAATGGTTGACGGATCATGTCACAGCATGTTTGAATGTGTGGAGATGCACATGGGAAGTGAGAAGTGGCTGTTGAAAATTCAGCTTGGCCATCATCGGAATAAATAACATTTTAATATATACTAAAATAGAAACCAGTTATTTTAATTGTAATGATATTTCACAATATTACAGTTTTTAATGGTGTGCTCAAATAAATACATCCTTGGTGAACATAAGAGATTTATTTCAAAAACATTTAAAAGTCTTACCAACCAAAAACTTTCATATGATAACTTGTCATACGAAAACTCATTGATATCAGAAATTAAGTTTGATTAATTTTGTCTAACCTTTTACTCTGTGCTTCCTTATGTTCAGGTGATTGACATGAACGAATATCAGAGAAAGAGATTTGCCTGTCGGATCATTGACTGCCTGTTTAACACCGTTACAGGGAAGAAAATCGCTTTGTTAGGTTTCTCCTTCAAGAAGGACACGGGAGACACCAGGTACATACAGGGATACTTTGAACCAGTCTGTTTTATTTATGACAAGTCAAAAGCTGTGTCTTTAACTTTTACCTACAAAACACAGACCATGAGATGTCAGAGCATGAGTTAACCATCAACTTTGATTGTGTAATGAAGATTACACACAGTTTTCCTTGGTTTGAACTATATCCTATTAAAACCATGCAGACTTAAAACCCTGCAATACATGCGTAAACACACCTGTGCCACCCATGACCTTTATCTAGAGTTACTGAGTATATGTCATGCCTCTGCATGTGGATTGTTTCAGAAGAGAATTATGACTGTTGTTTTTTTAACCTCCATTCAAGACCTAATAGAATGGGGCATGAACACAAGCTTATAACAAATCCCTTCAATAACTAAGTGGGGTCCAAAGTCTGATACCACTAGTGAAAATAATTATATTATTAGCATGACAATTTGTCACACAGTTGTGTGAAAAGTTTCACATGAATTTCAGAATGTTTTATTATTTAATATGTCCATCTTTTCCTAATGGGAGCAGCATTTAAGGTAATATGAACTCCAGAATTTTATGCAATACCTGGTGATCATGTTATGCAGCACAATTTAAGCATGATTCATGGCATTAATCATTCCTAGATTAACAGCATTGATGGAAGCAAGGAAATCTGACTTTTAGTGCAAAGGTGTGAATGGCACAAATTTACTTATTTTATTAGTGATATAGAACTAATGCAAAATCATAAATGTTTATTACACTGTTAGTTCCAATCTTCGAGTGTTGATGTTCAGACAAACAAGTCTTTTTACTGTATCACTCTGCTTTTCTTTGCCTTAGTCGAAGGCATTTTTACATTGTTTCACCAGTAGGTGCCTACAAGTGAATTCTAATAAGTAATTGAATTATTCACTTAATTCGTCAGTCAATTCTTTCAAAAACAGTGATTCATTTAGAAGGAAAGCACCACTACTTTGTGTTGTTCAGAGATGCGCGAATGTTTGTTCTGTTGGACTTCGTTTAGAGGTATTTTCAATGGAAGCTCAAAAAAAGGCAAAT